ATATATATATATATATATATATATATATATATATATATATATATATATATATATATATATATATATATATATATATATATATATATATATATATATATATATATATATATATATAAATACGTATAATCTAATAGTCTCTTTGAAATTGTTACAATGTTATAATTTTAACATTTTAAATCTTAAATCAAATTTAATATTTTAGTTTTAATTTTATATACTGTTTACATGCTGATTTTATACTGTACAACACCCAGAGTCCTTCCTTGAGGGAGTAACTGAAAGAGTCAGTAAAGGATATATGGGTGATGAGAAGTTCTATATATGCTTAAGATAAAGTCAAGAGAACACTTAAACTACAGCAAGATTTTGTTTTCAATGTTTCTCATATGCACAATTAAAAGAAAGATTTAATACAGATAAAACAGTAATGGAGATTGAATAACTGATTCAATGAAAACGAATTGTGTACAAATGGACATGTGATTGCAAAAATGTACAAACTTTGTTGAAATTTAAAACTGAAGATGAACAAGTCAAGGATTGCATAATAAAATGGTTACAATATACAGATGGATGAATGGGAGAGAGTGGAGATAAAGAAACTAAAATTTACAGTATATTACACTTTAAAATAGATTTTTAATAATCTATATTATTGCTCTTAAAATAACAGAAAAATAAAAAGCAAAATAAAATAAAATACATATATTATAAAAAATAACAAGTGCTTAAAAAGTGGAAAAATACATGAAAAATAAAATATAGCATTAGAACAAGTTATTCTACATACATTATCTAATAAACAATATATCTATAAGCACATATACTCATATATGCTTATTTAACCTACTGTAACCTACTCTAGTGTGTATAAGGGGATGCCATATTTCCTTATATTTATACATACAAAGTCCACGTCTATAGGCAATCCGCTCATTAGTAATTTAAGATACAATTTTTACAGAATGATGTACCAGTGGTATTTGACACCAGAGAATTTATATAACATGTATAAGACACCTAGTCAATGTGAAAATGAGATGTTACTATTTTTTCAATGCTCCGTTTTATTGATTTTGCTATCTATTGGATTATTTTAGTTTGGCTGTCTATTTGATTAAATGTTTTAGCTGTTTTTATGTTTTCTCTAGAGTTTTGTATGTCGCAAAGAGTCCACTGGAGTTGGGTGGCAAAAAATAGAAAGAAAAGTGTGTATGTGGGGACAAATACATATAATAATGCATTATCCTCATAAAGATCAGATTGGCTCCAACTTTGTCAGTCTAGCCTAAGACCTTAAAAACTTGGTTTTGCCCCTGGACCTAGGGGTGAATCCATGGAGTTGAGCCCAAGGGGTGAATCCATGGAGTTGAGCCCAGGTATTGGTTATGCATCTCTTTTTAACCCAACTGTTGTTTTATATGTTCCATTTTTGGGGGGGAGGGTTCTATTTTTGTATTTTTTAATACTGTTAACCACCCAGAATCATGAATTTGAGATGGGCAGCCATGTAAATTAAAATAATACATAAAAGAGTGCTATATTGGTGCATTATTAGAGCTGCCACTTAGCAATAGCAGTTCTGACGTCAGAACAGCCATCATTAAACAAGGATCATATGAATCGTTATGCAAAGATCTCATGTCACTGTGACTTCTGACTTAACAGCTTTCCCAGACTTTGCTTGCGTGAAAGAACAAGGTAACTGGATCTGATGGAGAGAATGTAGCAAACTGCAATTATACACAAGTGACAAAATAAGCAGCTATACTTTTTATTAATGTATTCCTCTGTAACAGAAATGTTTACCTGGGAATTCAGGTTTCCAACATATACAGTCCTTCTAATTTCATCAATCTTGGAAGGATCCACATTGCCCATAATGGGTGGCTGGGGTATGTCTCCAATGGCTGTAATGTTATGATCCAATGATGCTGCTGGTATAGCTCCTAGTGGACCAAGGGAAATTCCTATCTGTAAATAGAAAATAGGGAATATAGAAACAAGCATGGGGTCCTTCTTCTGCTTTGGATCAATAAATATATATACATATTTAAATTATTTAAAAATAATATAAAAATTATCTGAAAACACTATAAAAATACCATAAAGTACATCTTCAGTTTTAAAAAATGGAGGAATAATTCTTTGACTTCTGGGCAATAAGGCAATATTCTTAGCAGAAAAGCTTGTACAAAGATTGAATAACAGAAATACTACAAAGCTTCAATCTTTTTAAAGCTAGAAACTTTAGCAGCTTTCTATGCAAGACGGTACTAATCTGTAAAAATTCTAGCTTTAACATTACTTTTTCTATTTTCTTCTGGTCCTCTTTGCTAATATAGGCTTCTGATGAAGTCTAAATCTTGCTATATTAAGGATTTTGGTTTATCCTAATAAATGCCCCACCTTACTTTGGATTTTAACACATTAGATTGTGTAAAAGCCATCCCTGCCATGGACCACTTACCAAAAATGTAACTGAATCAGCTGCATTATTACATCCAGCATTACTTACTGAACTCACAGGAGGTGTTGGTATAGGAAGCAACCCTCCACCAGGAATCAGACTTGTAATTGTTGGGGCAGGAGCCAAGAGAGAGAGGGCTTTGGCTTCATCTGGAATTTTACCTGAAGAGCAAAATGATTTTGTTATCAAAAGTAAGGCCACCTTTCGAATTTTATTCTTCTATTTACTATTTCCCTTCAACTTAAATATAATAAAGAAAAAAAAACTACAACAGCCTTTTAAAAAAGCAAAACAACACACGTTTTTCTTTCCCCTACTCCACTAGGAACAGTAAGTGAGCAAAACTACAATCTCATTACCGGATTTTTACTTTAAAAACTGAACAATGAGTAGATAATTATTTAACACTTTGAGCTATGGGTCACCTGTACTGGAAACTTAATGTTCATGAACCAAACGATATCAAGCATGGACGCTTTCGCAGGACGTTGTTTCACGGTGATCGAAAGGAGTGTTACACATGACAACCGTTCGTGTTGGCTGCATCACTAATAGCACACAGAACATCAGATACAGAAAAGAAGAACATTTTTTAAAGTTTAATCCCCAGAAATGGCAAATAACCAAATCAGTCAAAAAGAAAAAATAGGAAACAGGAGTGTGCTAAGCAAAAGCTGGCCTTTTCTTCTGCTGAAAGTGGCTGTGAAAAATATTGCCAGTTGATCACCAGTTGTCAATCTAGTACAACAAATCAAGCAAGGCAAGAAACATAATGATTCGTAGCGTAAGTACTTTGACCTAACAAGGCTCACAGTTCTGTAGCATTATGAAGGATAGTGTAATCTAGTCTTTACAAAAATATTTACTTGATCACTGACACAATGTTTGTTATATCTGCATAGTGTCAGTGCAACAGATGACTGTTGTTTTTATAAGATGACAAGGAGATTTTGTCTCTTGTTATACATATTCAGGGAGCAAGGCTTACCTCAATAAAATTGCTCAAGTTCTTAATTCAGAAATGCTTCACATTACGGATTGAAAATCAGGATAAAAATACTTTAAATAATTTAAATAAAAATTATTTTGCACTATGGTTATCCATATTTAAATAATGGATTACTACTGCATTGATCTTTACTGAAAATGTACTTTAAGGATAACCAGTTTATACTACTCTTAAAATGCTTTACAGCAGCTAACTACTGTATTTGTGGATTATGCCCAAACAATCCAAAAGTAAATATTTTAAGCACAGACTACTAAGCCAGATATTACACACTGAAGATGGCAAAATATTCTGCCAAAGAGCCACCACTGTCTGACATAACTGTTACTTATTAGAGTAAGCATAAGAATTTAAGTCAATCTGGCCTCAAAGAGATCCATTATCTAGAATTATAATGGCATTTATAATAAGAAAAAATACACAATATTTTTTTATTATTTATTTTAAAAGCCTCACCAATTAATCCACTAATGCTATAATGTTGATGTTCCATTAAAAAGCCAAAGATATGATGTAGATAACAATGCAGATCTCCATATTAAGCTCAAAAAAGTTATTCCACTTCAAAAAGGGGAAGATGTTTCTGATGTTAAAAAACTGCCTGTAGATCTACATTAACTTTCTGACAATTTTGAGTTTTTGAAGGATATAATTTAAAGCTTTTTATATATAAAAGTTGAAACACTGTAGGCTTTGGCTGAGAGGAAAGAATAGACCAGCAACATAAAAACCATATTACAGTTTCACTTGATTGAATGGATTTAAAAATAATAGGATCTTGACTGAAATGGTAAGTGGACTGCATTTAAATGAAAGTATTTCAAACCCAATTCCCTATCGTTCTATAGGCCCATAGAATTCAATTGCACATTCCAAATTAAATGCTTATAAAGTGCAGTCTTCCATGACTGTATCTAACTGGGATTTCCCCTACTGATAAAAGACATTTTAATCCAATCGAGGCATCCATCAGTCAAAAAGGGAAGTAACTAATTTTCAATGGTTTCCCTCACCCCTGTAAATTTCCTCATTCCTGGAAGCAGTATGGGAAATGATACAGAGAAGTGAAAAGTCATAAAGTAGCTTCTCTCACTTAATTAAGGAACTTTTGATCAGTGGGTGGCCACCAAGTAAATATAACAGCATAGCACCTTATAGTAAATACCTAACTTTCTAAGCTATCATACCTACATGATACTAATTTACTAGAAAACAAGCCTTCTTTTAAAAAGCAAAAATATGAATATCTATCTTCAAAACTAAAGAAAATAAAAGATTTTTTTTTAAAACATCTGCTAAATATAGACTTACATCCAGAAAGGGGCCAACTGTACCTCACTGAACTTGTGCAAGACTCAAAGTTTTATTTCAGTAAACTATTCCAGACTAAATATAACTGCATGTTTTTGGTGTAATCATAAAAAGGTAAGAATGAAAATTCATAAAAATATATTTCAATAGTTGTTTTTGCAAAGAACTCTTTAAGTGCACAACACTCAGCACTGGTGATGGCTCAAATGACACTTAAAAGCAATGATGTAAAGCATGGAGATGCACAAAACAGTTTTTACTCATAACTAGACTATGTCATTTTAAACTGATTAGTAAATCTACCTACTACTTTCAATCTGTGTAATTTAATTCTGTCAATTTAAAGCTTCTATCAAAAGTTTTAGCCCCTTATTTTAAGTCACCTTTATATTTCTAAATAATTTGTAGCTCTAATATAGATCCTGCTGGTCCATTAGATCAATCAAAATTTCTCGTAAGATCTATTGCTAATTATGTAATTCCCTGTTTATTCATAAAACTATCAGAGCACAGTAAAATATTTTTATTAAAGAAAAAAGATATGCAAAACTATGATAAAAGATGCCAAAAATAATTTGTGAACTCTCATCCCTGTTGCAAAAAAAAAGAGTAACAAAAGGTATTGTTCTTGGAAAGTTTCTGTAGAAAATATTCAAATTCTATGTGTCTGTTAATCCGAGATAGACTTTCATAATCATGTGCCAAGATGCAAGGAAAAAAAAAATAGTGATGCTTGTCACCTTCTCACAGAATGCTACAGTGAAGAGAAGACAATATACAAAACAAACACTGGTCAGCACAAAGTTATTTTGAGTATTCCCTAATTTTTTTTAGATTTGTTACAGAAATTAGTATATTGAATATCAAAATTAAATAAATAGAAAACCTATTAGTCTTGAAATAACATTAGCCTTCTTGACATGTATCATATTACCAATATATTTATATACTCTGCAGTTCAAATCTCAATGGGAAATCTCAACAGGCTTCCATAAAACTTAGACATGAAGAAGAACATTTGCTCAAATACATATTTTGAAAAGTAACAGAGAGATTCAGGGTGGGGGCATAGGGATAGGAAAGTTTCTGAAGACATTTCAGAAGAAATGAAGACTTCAAAACTAAGCCCAAAGAAAGCAATAATATAGAAGCTGAATTATATGGAGATAATATAAACAATTTGATCACTTCATTTGATAATCAACATAGTCCTAATTAAGAGAAATTATTTCCACTGATTTCAAATTTTATAAGCTTAAAATTGCACTTACAGTTTAAATGCAAAGTCTAAACTGACTTTAGAATTATGTCAGCTCTTACTGACACAGTATTAGTTCCACAGGATAAGTTTAAAATGAGTTATGAATTCCTATAACAGAACAGCATTTTTACAGAACTGAAAAACCAGTTCACAAGTAGAAACAAAAGAATTACAGCAAAAAAGGGACAAAATTAAAAAAAAGAAGAAGAAAAATAAAGCAAAACAAAATAATAAAACAGAGACAAGGCGTCCATCTTCTGCAGGCCAGACTCCGTTCTCATTTCCCCCATGAAGTTGTCACTTGGCGGCAGCTTTAGTGGCATGGCAAACAATGCCTAATTCAGGCAAGTGTAACAGGTCTGCCTTGGCCAGTCTAGTCATCTAATAATGCACAAATATCACACAGAGAAAACATACAAAACCAAATTAATAGTCAAAATCCATCTACCAGAAAAATGTGGACATAAAGTTTAGAATGATGATTAAAGGTGGTATCAGATGTATTTCAATCTTGTCTTCTCTCAAACTAGACCAAAGTCAGAGAGAAATCTCAAATACACATAAAATGAGAAGGGGACCATGCATTTTGACAATGTGATGTTTCACTGTATCCAAAATCACAAAGTTAGTCATGAAGTATGAATTATGTATTTGACATCATTTTTAATGTTCAGTGAAGCCATTGCCATGCAATGCTGAGAGTAATACCCTGACAGACAAGATGAACATTTTTAAAAGGTCTCAACATTCCTCCCTCCCCTTGTCTTTTTGTGTCTGGATTTTGTACAATAATAAATCCATAAATATTAGCTTTCACACCATTTGGATTTCCCTACATCCTATGTAACTCTCCACTTTTCATATGAAATTCAAGGAAGCTGCTGAGTTTGCTAATATACAAGCCTATGGATTTGATCTGAGCATTTTACTTTAATAAAACCTTATGAATCACTTGTAATTAATCTCAAAATTTAAATAATTAAGACATTATATTTACCCAGCACTGACTGCAGAGGAATAGCTTTGCATACTTACTTTGGAATACCTGCTAATAGGCTTACTTTTAGTAGGCTTATTGGTAGAATAATCCTTCCCAATCCAAGTATCTTTCCACTGTGTTCAATGAATTCCTCAAATTCTCAGCCAAAACAGCTGGCTAAAAATTCTATTAATTGAAATTTAACATATCTGGGAAGTACAAAGTTGGGAAGATCACCACATAAATTCAGAGGTTTGGAAAAAAGAATTTACTCTGGAGGAGGGAGTAAATGCCAATGATTGCTGCATTCTCTTCAATTGTTTTACATGTATTGATTTTGTATCCCATGCAGTTCAATTGGTAAATTATAGACAAAATTCAAACTGATAGATTATATGCATAATCCTTGATGTAGTATCTTATTGACTTTATACCACATAATAGGGAATGCATTTTTAAAAAATCTAATAACTCGTTGAGGGAGGAATTATAACTTATCTAAGTGCTATTGTAATATAAATGACTTTGCTTTCTGTTAACTCATCTTATTATTGAGCCAAATATAAAGGGAGAGTATAGGGCTAAAGAACACCACTAAATC